ACAGGGAGAGGTGGGCACAAAGAAATACTTTTCTTTCTTATTCTCATTTAAAATGTCTGGCTTTTAACAAATAATTATCAGAATCTTACAACCAAAGTTTTTATCTGATGTAAAATGTATAGAAATCATACATATACCAACAAGACTGTACATCACTGTCACAACAGCGTTTGTTTTCATTCAAAGGCTTTATGGCTTTTCCTATAATACCTGGTGGGCCGGTCTCTAGTCAAAATGCCAGGGACGATTTTATGTTTCTTTAAGCAAGTTCTTCATGACTGAGCCAAGTGTCCTCTTTTTTGGAAATCAAAATATGGTCACCCTAGTTTATTCTATAACATGTCAGATAGTTAGCCCTGTAGCCCAGTTGGTTTCCTCCAGTTATGCTGGCCTCCTGCCACAGTCCAAGGACACTGAAGTGTGACATGTTAGGTTGACTGATGATTCTAACGTTGCTGTAGCAAAATAAATATTTGATAACTTTGAGCAGAGTGATTGAACTGATGATTGCCATATGACATGGTATAAATACATTAGAGCAGGGATATCAAACTCATTTTACATGGTAGGTCACATACAGCCCACTTTGATCTTAAATAGTCGGTTAGATCCCAGTTACCCCTGTACAGGAGGTCTGGACCAGCTCTCCATCTAACGGGTCAGAGTCTCTATATCCCTATGGGTATCACCATATTAGATGAACTGAGACTGATTTAAGCCGGTGTTGATGAGACTCACCATGGTAGACTGACTGGACCAGTGAAACTCTGCTTTCTGTCATTTTAAAGTTTACTTATACATTTAATTTCAATTGGTTGTCTCAGTTTTTCCAAAAGATTCGAAAATACTGCTTTCGTTAATGAAAAGTGTCCATTTGACGTTTTTGGCTTTAATTTTAAGAAATAAAGGTGTAAAACTGCAGAAGAAGTTTTGGTTGTCCTGTAATTACAAAGCTATAGCACATAGAAAACGAAAGAGAAAATGCTGAACACAGACTTAATTAAAGAGATGAATATTTGTTCAAGATTTGGTGGAGATCAGTGAATACTGCACTCTAGAAATTGATCAGCTAGACACAACACCAGTCCAGATATCTCTGAGCATTTCTCTCCATATTGCATATTTACAGCAGACAGTTAAAAAAGTGGTCAACCACATTTTGAGCAGTAGTGCTATTATGTAACCCCAGGTAAAGCATGCACATACTGTAGTCTCGAGGTTACTAAATATAACAGAAAATGTTCAAACCAACTATTTTTGTGCCCAACAGTACTACTACTGCCTGTCCTTACTCCTCCTCCTCTCTCTAGTCCTCCTTTCTATTTCTACCCCTCTCCTCTTTCCTTCCTCAACTTGGCACTGTTTGAAAAGTCACAAACAAACCATCAATGTTTGCTTGCCAGAAGGAACTGCAATGTTACAGCAGCCTCCTACACACTCTGCCTCCAAAGTGTGAGAGACACAGCCGTAGAGAGAGGGAAAGCAAATTTGGAAAGAAATTCACAGACCGAATGTCATCTGTTTTGGTCGTAGGGATGATGACTGCCAAGTGTGGAGCTGAAAGAGCAGTAGAGAATAGTCTTTATTCGTTTCCCTTCTTATTTGATGTAATTACAACAAGTATATATCAATATATTGTTTTAAAAAGCACATTTTTATTGCACATACAGTGTTGTGCAAAAGTCTTGAGCAATCCCCATTGCTTTGTATTTTACTTACATGGAGCCAGACTCTTAATTAAATAATTCAAGTGATCTTGAGTAACAGTCCTCCAGGTCTGTCAAAGTTGTACTTTGGACTTTTTCACTCACTTTATTATTATTTCACTCAGTTTATTATTGTGTAATTCATTTATCATTGACCTCTGAATCACCCAAGCATAAAAAAGCACCTAACTCAAGTAATGAACCAATGTGGTGTATGCACAGAACAGTCAACTTAGGATGTCTGTAAATGGACCGATTCTTTTACAGTGCTTACTGTACTTGAGCATGCAGAGTGCTTTATATAACATGCCTCATTCCACTCCACACCCATTCATAGAAGCATTTGTTTTATATGTCTTAGTGGGGGTTTTTTTTTATGTTTTGTTAAACTGTTAAAACATGGGTGATGTCACCTTTAAAAAACCCTAAAAAGCTTTCTACCTTTAAAGTGACCTTGAAATTTTTTGATGGAAAATTTCTAGTTTATTCTCATGTTTAGATTTAGGTGCTTAGAATTTCACTGTAGAAGTTTGTATTTTCTTTTATCTCTTAGGTCAGGGGTAGGCAACTCCAGGCCTCAAGTGCCGGTGTCCTGGAGGTTTTAGATGTGTCCATGATCCATCACAGCTGATTTAAAGGGCTAAATGACACCTCAGCATTTCTTGAAGTTCTCCAGAGGCCTGGTAATGAACTAATCATTTGATTCAGGTGTGTTAACCCAGGGTGCGATCTAAAACCTGCAGGACACCGGCACTCGAGGCCTGGAGTTGCCTACCCCTGTCTTAGGTGAAGGACATATGTGTCAATATGATCTGCTGTAGGCTGCTTAACTATGTTATCTGCCGACTGTTAGGGTGTAGAAGGATGAAACTCCCAGAAAGACCAGTGCCAGGTGCTTCCTGGGACATAGATAGTGTGAGCTTGCTCCCTGCCCAGGAATTGCACAGCAAAAGCTTTGGGGGGGGTGGACTAAAAAATCAGTCCCCATGGGACTGAAAAACCATGATTATTAGGCTACAACAGAGTTGGCAGTTCGTCTTGTAATCGGAAGGTTGCCGGTTCGAGCCCCGGCTCGGACAGGCTCGGTCGTTGTGCCCTTGGGCAAGACACTTCACCTACCGCCTACTGGTGATGGCCAGAGGGGCTGATGGCGCGATATGGCAGCCTCGCTTCTGTCAGTCTGCCCCAGGGCAGCTGTGGCTACAACTGTAGCTTGCCTCCACCAGTGTGTGAATGTGAGAGTGAATGAATAGTGGAATTGTAAAGCGCTTTGAGGGTCTCGAAAAGCGCTATATAAAATGCAATCCATTATCATTATTATTATTATTTTAGTATTAGCTAGTAAACCACAGTTGTATTATATACTACATTAGCTAATATAATATGGTCAACATTACATTTATTGTATTATAATATGAAATATTTTTAATTCTAAATTTACAGTAGTGGAATTGAATTCAAATAGCGAGCTTCAGTAAAAACTCAAGAAAATTGTATTTAACATGACTTTAAAAAGAACACCTACAAGCTGTGATCAATTGTTTGTTTGTGATCAAATAAAGTGTACACTGATACATTAAATATACCTTTATTTCCTGTTAGAAAGCTGAATCATGCCATATCATAACCATGATTTTTGCTGAATGGGTCGAACAGGGCAGAGATTTTTTAAAATTGTGGAATTGTTATTTATTCACACATATCAGCATAAATAAAGTGCAAAATATACAAATAAGCATATACATCTCAAAAACACTTCTCAACTTTTGGTTCAAAAATTTAATTTGTTATTTAGTACAGAGGTGTTCAAAAGAAAGGTAGAACAATGAGTCTGTAGCCATCTGTAAAACACGATGGAGGCGCTGACATTTTTTTGGGCTGAATTTCAGCCAGCGTTGTGAAAATTGATGTAATTATATACACAGACAGGTACCGTCAGATTTTGATCATCCATACAGTGCCAGCTGGGAAAGATCGGAAACTTCCCTGTCTGTCATTTTAAACTTCAATTACACATTTAATCCCCGTGATATCTCAGAATAAGAAATAACTGCACGAGTATGTCTATTTTTTTTCTAAATCATAAAAAGGATGCTGCTGTAGTCGGTGAATTAAATCTCTCTGTGCTTAAACTGTAAGAAATAAATGATTAAGCCATATTCTTAAAAATTAAAACACTCAGTGCTCATCAGTGAACTTAAGGAAAAAGTAATGACGACTAGAAGTAATCTACTATCGATCCCT